CCTGTAGTACTTTTAATTTTAAATAATTATGGAAAATATTTTTTTGTATCAATGTAAAATTTATTAATAAGGACTTACTGAGCTGGCAAAAAGAAGCATGTTCATTCTGAGAGGATTCAGTGGTTTGTAACTAGTCAGCTCTGTTGTGATAAAGAAAGCCAGAACTACTGTCAGTGATCTTAGACTTTCCCCTTTAAATGATTAATGAGTGGGGGACTTTTATGGCAAAATTGTAATATTGTACTTGTTCTTATATAAGAGCTAGTTTCAAAATACTTGCTGTTTCTTTTAGGGTGACGGATCGCCTTTCAACATGTGCAATTCTAATGATGGCCAGTCTGACTAGTACCAAGATAGTGTTACCATATAATATCACTGTGGAGTCCCTACACTTGGCTTTCAGTCAGAACGGGGTGGAAGGGCAGTCAGTATTTTAATTTATTTTTACTGCCTTTCTAAACAGCTGTATAAAAAAAAGTTTTGCAAGTTTAATCTTAATAATCTTCACCCAAAAAAGCAGACACACTGTGTCATAAAATAACTATTAGTGACTAGTTTGTATCCTATAAATCTAACTTGAGTTGATAATATGGTCCATTACCAGCTAACTGCACAGAGTATTTTTCATTTTACACTCTTCAGTTACTTTTTAGTGAAGTGTTAAAAAATATGAAGCTTTTCTCCTCTCTAAAATTGCACACTGTCTGTCTGTTATTAGGAAGATAACAGCTCTTATAAATGTTTCAGTAAGCGTTAAGTAGACAGTTATGTGCACTCTCATTCCACGCTTATTTGCTTACTGTAATAAACTGATAAAATATGTGTGGTTTGTCTCTGTGTTTCTGCAGGCATCATGAGTCACATAGATTTCCTTTAGAAATAATGTTGTGTCTACAGAATTGATTGGTTATTTTCATAAACCATCCAAAGGTACACAAACTACTTCTATAATTTAAACATATGCTCTGTAAGATTTGTAGGAGATTATCTCCTGGTTAGTAGATGCGTCTTGTTCTGTTAACTCTGTGTAGTATTATTTTAACCCCACAGTGATTGCAGGTATGTGCCCTATGGGATTCTCTAAGTATCACAACTCTATACATCAAAAATTTTAGAATTAAAAAACTCTGTTTACTAGACCGATGCAACTGTTAAATACACCACATTGCAGTCACATCAGCCTTTGTCAGCTCAAAACCCTTGCTACCAAGTAGAGGGTTTGAGAACTCTCATTTTCAAGAATTAAATTTCTTCAACATACATATATTTTATTTTTTTCTGGTAGTGCCACATTAAATGCAAGTGAAAATTAATGTTCTATAGGAATAAAAATGGCTTAAACATCATGTCGGTATTCTGACTGTCCTTTGTGTTTCTGTTGCTATGTGTAGTATAATACTGAAAATAGAAGTGGGCGGGCTGAGGAGTGAAATTGTGACTGAAACAAGAAGTAACACTGAAGGGGGCATAGATTAAAAACTCTAAAAATCACAGGGAGGATTCAGTAAAACTTGAATGAGTTAGAATTTGAGTACAGTACAGCCAGCAGTGTGCTCAGGTGGTCAAGAAGGCCACCAGTGGAATCCTGGTTTGTGTCAGAAATAGTGTGACCAGCAGGACCAGGGCAGTGATTGTCCCTCTGTACTCAGCACTGGTGAGATCACACCTCAATCCTGTATCCAGCTGTGGGCCCCTCAGTACAAGAAGGACATTGAGGTGCTGGAGTGTGTTCAGAGAAGGGCAACAGAGCTGATGAAGGGTCTAGAGAGTAAGTCCTATGAGGAATGGCTGAGGGAACTGGTGGTATTTATCCTGGAAAAAAAGAATGTCAGGGACGACCTTACTGCTCTCTACAGCTACCTGAAAGGAGGTTTTAACCAGGTGGGGTTCATTATCTTCTCCCAGGTAAGTGATAGGACAAGAGGAAATGGCCTCAAGTTGCTCCAGGGGAGGTTTAGTTTTGGTATTAGGAAAAATCTCTTCACTGAAAGAATTATCAAGCATTAGAATAGGCTGTCCAGGGAATTGGTGAAATCACGATTCATGGAAGTCTTCAGAAGGCCTGTAAGTGTGAAACCTAGGAGCATGGTTTAGTGGGGAAGATGGCAATGCTGGATTAACAGTAGGACCCTGATTTTAGAGATATTTTCTAACCTTAATGAGTATATGATTCTATGTATCTACATGTTGGACTTCTGACTGGACTTGACTGGACTACTGACTTTTTATGTTTTCATTCCTATTAATAAATAGTACTAATAAAACCAACTGTAAATTAGCACAGAGAAGCTAGTCTGCTTCAAAATACTTGTGTTAACATGAGTTAAACATATGCCCTAAGTTTGTTAATGTAAAATGGGTGAACCGTTTCATGAAATAACTTTTGCATTATTCAGGTCCCATTCAAATGAATAATAAAAGTTAAAGACTAAGCTTAAACTTAAAAATAAGGCTTAAATTATATCTTAAAAGTTCAGTTTTGTTCATTATTTGAACAATGGTTTAAGTAATGTGCTAATTTGACTGCTTAATAACTTCTTACTCTTATTGTCTCTTTCTGTGTACCAATAAGATATTTATTATTCAAAGTACTTCATTCCTTATTTTCGTACAACAGAGTTGTTTTTTCAGAGTTTGGCCTTGTCAGTTGTTTCTAGAAAACTAAGCGGAGTATTAATCTGTGAAAGTTTGGGTCTTGTATATTCAAAGAGGTTTTGAATTTTGAGTAACTGTGAAGGTCCATACAAATTGTACCTTTTCATACATTTTGCATTGGCTGTAAATCTGGTCGTGTGATATCAAACAGGTTACTATTTTATAAATATAATTTAAAGATAAAGTAACCCTAATGTTAGCATATATTTATGCATGTGAAATGGCTTTGGAGTAAAAAGATACCTGGTTGTTGTGGATTTTGTAACATTTCACTGAACTGTGTTCTTGGACAAAAGTATTAGATATTTCCATGCTTGTCAGAGATCGGGAATTGGACTGAAAAAATTGACTCAATTTAAAAATATGGTGCCTATATTCTTTAAGTGGTATTGCTACTATTATTTGAATAAGTACAGAAATTTATAGTATGTGTTCTATTGTAAACAGCTGTATTTTCTTCTGATCATATGGGAAAGTTAAAAATGTTGTCCCTGAGAACATTATATTATCTTTTTAAGGTGAGGAAAATGACTGAACTTCGACAATTTATTTTAAAAGTATTAGCAAATTGTACATATTTGAAGTTTGGTGGTGTGGCGTTTCCTCAGTTCAGAGGTGTTTTGAAACTGCCCTTAATCTTCATACTTAAGACTACTGGTAGATAATTAATTTGTTTCTAAAAAAACTGATACCAGAGTTTTTATACATTAAAGAAAGAAACAACTACATAAAAAATTGAAAGTGAAATCTGATGTGGAAGGTTTTGCAGAGGTGTTTGTGTGGTCACATCCTGCATGTGTTGTTCTAGTTACAGTCACATAGTGGTTGAGTTTTGAGGGGATGAGAATCTTTTCTGCCTTTTTTCCTTCATGATTTATTTTTCATTCAGTATGATATGTGTGAAACTTAATGCACTTCCCAAAGCGACCTGAGAAAACACACTCACTCAGTTCCTTATGTAGTTTTCTTCAGCTTTCATCAGTGTAGTGCTCACACTGTTAAGCATTTATTAGTTGACCTTCACAGATACTCATTTTAGGTGATGGATATTATTAGCCTGGGTTTCCAGTTCAGAAACTGGTGCTCAGAGATGAAGATCAAGTTTTCCAAGTTTTTCAACAGGATAGTTTGCAACCAAAAGTTTTCCAGATACCCTACCGTTTCTGTTATACCTTATTGGTTTAAATCTCAGCTCTTACTTATCTCCTATTATTCTTCTATTACTGAAAGTATTCACTAAGCCTTTAGACCAGGCCATCAGTGTTAAATGTGTCAGACAGGAAAATGTAGCAGTCCTGCAAGTGTTTTGTAGAGAAGGCAAGATGAAAGCTCGTTCTCCTTGTTTAGCTGCTTGGAGTCTTGAACAACCTGCTATCTGCAGTTGTCTCTTTCGCTTAGTTACACGTTCAGGGTTGTGGGTAGGACAAAAGAAGAGGGGCACTCATCAGTGGAAACATACACAGGTGTATCTAACAGATCTACTGTAAAGTTCAGTAGCTCATAGAGCATTGACCAGACAAATGGGATTTTTGTGCTGAGCATTTGGCTTTTTTCAACCTCTGCATTCTGTTTGGTGTTTGTTTCATGTAATTCCCCAACCTTTTCTTAGAACTTGTTTAAAGAATTCAGATTCACTTTTATGCAGATTTCTGCATATGCCTTAGTGTTGTACTTTTGAGCTCATGATTACAGATCTCCTTATCAGTAGTATCTGGGAATGTTTGCACACTGAATATCTTTTTTCATGCTATTTCTGCAGGATAGAATGGACCCAAACATCCTTGGGATTTCTCTTACTGCTTTTAGCGGCAGGACTGCTTAAAAAGTGGCAGCATCCTTCTGCTCTTTATAACTGTATTTTTACTTTTTCACCAGTGTAATTATTTGGCAACTTTTTTTTTGTGGTTTTAACAACAGAAGTAGAAGACAATTTCACACTACACTTTCACATTACACAGTGGGCTTGGGGTCACGCTGTAGTTCTGATGCATAGAATGTTTCTTGCTGGAAAAAACATAACTATTCTAACTGTAACTCTTAAAAAACCTGATAATTTAATAGATAACTGTAGAGTTAAAAAAATGAAAAGATGCTATAGTGGAAAGTGAGACAGATAACAAAGAAGTTGACGCTGCTTTTTCTCAGCACCAGAAATGTTAGGCTCTGTTATCTGATATCTATTACTGCAATTTTTTTATGCATTTGAATATGTCCTTACATGTTTCTGGTTCACTAAAATTCTAACTTGAAAGCAGGTGTTCTAACTGAGTGAAAAGTGCAATATTTAATTGTTATTTTATTTGTTCTTCATTTACATTTACCAACTGTTGTTTTGTACTTAACAGGTCACTTCTCAAGTCTCTGTGCCAACAAAAACATATGAACTGCTTCATCGAATGAGTGGAAAAGGATTAGCAGCTCATTATCACTTCTCAAGACAACCAGGCCTTTTTGGTGATCATATGGTACCTGTGCAAGTGACAGTAACAAATACAACCGATCAGAAGATAGAGAATATTCACATTGAGGGGAAGAAATTACCTCCAGGCATGAGGATGCATGAGTTTAATCCAATAGGTAATCATATCCTATCTTTAAAAATACAGACTCTTAAAATTTCAAATAGAGGAAAGTGTTTTTGCGTAGCCAAACGTATACTCATATGTATATATGTGTGTGTGTGTATGTATGTATACATGTGTATTAGGAATACATACACACATTCATGCAACTGTCTTTTCCTAGATAGTTTCCTAGTCTGATTTTAACAAAAATTTAATTCAGCTTCCCTTGTATTTGACTTTGAAAATAATTCCTTAGATCAGAACTTCCATGCCTGAAAGCTTACCTGCTTGTTCAAATATCAATTATATTACAACTCTTCCAGCTGATACAATAAAATTTTTCTGTATACCAACAAGCGTTGATTTTCTGACAGCCATAGTCTAGAATGTGTGTTATGGGATATTGTTAAGAATGAGGATTTATATATTCACAATTGTTTCTTACCAAGCTTTAAGTAAATTTGTAGATGTAATGTGTATTTTGGTGGCTCGGAGCATTGTCATTTTTTCCCTTGTGAGCTTATGGCAGTAGAGAGGGAGTGTATGTTTTAGTTTAGCTTATATCTACCATACTTCCACAAAGTGTGTCTGCCTAGACTGGATAGAAAGCAATGCTGCATTCAGCCCAAACCTAAGTTGTTTCACTTTCTATCTGATTACAAGGGTTTTTTTGCTAAATTTCTATTAGTGGAAAGGAGTATAAAACCTGAGAAAGAACACAAATCATAGTAACTTTTATTCAAGAGTAGTATCTGTGCATGCAACCTGCTTTCTTTTTTTTAGGACACTGTGGTGTAGTTGGAAGGAACGAAAATGCCTATTTCATAATACAAATGGGAAGGACAGACATGCTCCTTTTTGACACAAGCTCCTGTTTCTTTAGACACATTTCTTCTCCTTCAATGAGCTACATTATTATGTGAATCTATATCACATTAGAAGAATACAGAAACATGTTTTTAAAGCACAATAGTGAAGTACAGAGTATTCTTTGTTTTAAGTAGTTAAGACTGTTGGTATTAAATGACTCTATGCTATTAAAATACTTATTTTTTTAACATTGTAAAGGTTATACAGATTTACACCGAATTGTCCAATGCTACAGTTTATTTCAGAGTTAAAATTATGGAACTGTTTCCATTTTGGTAATGATATGCTTTATCAAGACAGTTATGTTTAGGAACTGTATTAATCTTTGTTTTAATACTAATTAATGATAATAATAATAATTTGGTTTTTATATTAATTCCTCAAGATAAGAAGTCCTGCTCAGAGTTCTGAGTTCAAGTTAGTTTTGACCATCAGCTTTATTGTGTATCCCTCCCTTTAAAACATTAAAAGAAATAAAGCACAAAGGCTTACAAGTAGAAATCTAGTAACACTGTAGATTGGATCAGGAGGTACAATACCCACAGTAACAGTCAATTAAAAGTAGCATTCACATGTCTCACATAAAAACCATGGAGAAAAAAAAAGTAGAATTAATAAATTGTCCACTTAAGATTTCTTGAGCTCCACAAAACAATCCTACCCTTTAAAGTATTTATTTCTCCAAGAAGGACATTGTGCTATCTGTCCTGTGAAGCTTTTGATTTCTTCTGCAGAAAATCGGCTATACATTATCTGTAGTTCCTTCAAAAAATATTACTTTTCTTGCTTAAATGCAAATTTTTGGTATTCTTTGTCACTTTATCTAGAACAAAGTTCATATACCCTGTTCTTATTCTGTTTCCAGCATTTGGAAAACACATCCTATAATTTGCCCAGCAGAACCAAGAGAAGTGTCAGTGTAGACAGGTATTCCTACTGGAGTATAAACCTAGTTTTGCCTCACTCACTGCAATTACTGTTAGCAATTGTCCTGATTTTTCCAGTAGAAATGGTCCAAATTATTTCACCCAAGTTCCCCTGCACATTTTCTTGTTGACTAATTCCCTTTGAAATCCCCTTTGAAAACATTAAGCTCAAAGACTTTGGTAAAGTTTATTCTGAATTTGAGCTGGAGCCTGTAATCTTTCACTGCTTTACACAGACTCCGTGGAATACTTTGTTTTTCATTCATTCACTAGCATTAGTTTAGACTCTGCCTAACTGCATCAACTCCATGTTTCCGTATTTTTCCAAACTTGATATTGTTAAATTTTGTTTCCTTTTGTCATGGAGTAGTTGCCGACTTTTCAGTTCCTGAAAAGCATCAGATATGTTATGAATAGTCTGGAAATTGGACATTTTTCTGCCTGTCCAATTCTTTTTATTTGAATTCCTCTTTTTTAACCGTGCTTTTAGCTTTTCTTTGTTGTAATCTTGAGAAGTCAAACTTTACTTTGGTGCGTGTTTTTAATACTTCTACTTAGACCTTAAAAGAAAAAGCCTTTAAAGAAAGCTTTGTCTTTACAACATTAAGGAAATAGTGTAGTGATTTAGTCAAGAAGCTAAGAATGATAATATCTCTTGATATCTTAACTGTCAAGAGTGTCTGTGACACACACACACATATATATATATATATATATATACTGCTTGTATAGCACAAAATGGTCTTCCATTTTGTGTTTATAATCTTTCTTCTCCCTTCCAACTAATGCAATTGGAATATTGAGACATAAGTAAAACACAGTAATTATGAAATAGTTTAAGTTCAGCTCCTTTTCCACTACTATGTGTATTAATGTAAATTTTAATAGTAGTTGTTGTGTTTTGGTATTTACTAACTAAATGTGCAAACTGGTGTTATTGAAAATGAAACCTCAGTGCTGGATCTGTACACAAGTAAAAGGATTTAACTTCAATATGTTTTTTTCTATAAAATATTTTCTTCAGTTATCTAGTACAAATCCTTATTTTGTTGATAGAGCTATAAGATCGAAATGGCAACATTTCATGTGCACTAACTGTGTGGGAGGGGGGATCCAAGACACTTAAATGTCTAAGTGTGACATTTTGGTGACACCTACTTGAAATAAAACTACAGCTGCTGATTCTTTTCTTATGGAGATTTTTGGGGTTTGTTAACATAGGTTTTTAATTAATGAAGTTTGACTGTTTGCATCTGGGGTCTTCTGTTGCCTTGCACGGATACTTTACCTGTTACAAATCTCTTCATTTAGAGTGCCTTGAGCCTGGAGGATCCACTACCGTTACAATGGGTATTGACTTCTGTGATTCTACTCAGACAGCCAGTTTCCAGTTATGGTGAGTTAGAGGAGGGTAATTTTTGGCTCTTGGAAGGCAAAAGTAGTGTTTGTTGGAAGTTTACTTGCCAATAGCAGTCATACTGTTCATTAAATATTTAGAGAATTAAACAAAACTCATAACATGATGTATACCCAACATGTTCTTAGAGAAATAATACATGATTAGTGTTCAGTTTTACTATTAGATGAAATGTTTTCTTCAGCCTTCAATTTTTTTTTAGCACTTGCTTCTCAAAACACAGATTTGATAGTAAGCCCAGATCTAGGTTTGAAGTCATTTGTTTACACTCAAAAACTCTTTGACACATTGTGTTTGGGAGGCATAGTTTTTCCCTTAGTGTAAATGATACTAAGCAGAAACATTCAGTCCTCTTTTGATTTAGAATTATTCTCTGTTTTTCAGCTTTATTTTTATTGTTCTGCTCTTTTTGGGATTCTTCTTATTAACACCCTCTTGAAAGGAGCAGTCAGGTCTGACTATTCTCCTGTAGTGTTTTGTGTATGTTCTGCCTTGTAAGAAATTGAAAGTCATAAAAGCACTTAGTGTGAGCAATTTTACTACCTCAAGTGCTTATTATGGCTGTTTGTGATCTATATAACATGACTGCATGAAACCAACCCCAAAACTTGCTGGCCTAAAGAGTTTATTTATTCCTCATGCTGTAGATTCTTTTAAATAAATAGTGAGAGAATGAAAACAAGTAACTGGCTAGCCGACTAGATTTTGTCTTACATTCTTGATTTACGTTTTTTGTGCTTTTTATTGGCATGTTCAAGGTCCTCCTTTGTATGAGTTCCTTCTGCATTCTAGGATAACAGGGAACCTGTTCACCCAGTGAGAATTCTGTTATAAACTAGCATTTGAAAACATGGTAAATTTATAGTAGCGATGTCCAAACACTGGAAAAGAATGGAAGGGGGAAACCTTCTTTTAAAGCTGTTCACTTTTATGTAGTCTTTGAAACTGTGCAACAGCAGTATGTAGATCTACACATCTTTTTTTTTTTTACACATTCTGAAATAATGGGGTTTTTACATGTTTTGTTGCAAGAATCACTGTTTTCTATGTTCTGTACAAAAAAAAGATATTGAAGAGACATTCACATTTCTGCAATCCAGTTTAAGGGAAACCCTTTGAGAAAGTTTTGTACCCCTGTCTTAAGTACTGTAGCAATTTTAGCGTACTGCTACTAAGGACAGCCTGTGCAATTTACAGTTTATTAAAGACAGCGTGAAAATATTAATCATAGAAATGTACCCCAGTGACTCCAAAAGTACTGCTAAAATAAGATTGCTTGTTCTAGGGGCAAGAAGGTTTTACTATTGAATTTTTTCTTTCCATTTCTCAAACCTTTCCCAGTACAACAGATACTCCTACATAGTCATTTTACACCTATTTGTACCTCCAGCAAGATGTCTGCAGCATGTAGGTTATGTGCATCATGTTGTCATAGCTGGTCTGTATACTATTTGTGGAATTTGGAAACAGCTTTGAACTGTTGCCTGATGCTAGGTTTGTTTGGCAAGGAAGTTCCCTTCTACAGAGTGCAATTTCAAAATTGCTTCAAAATTATAGGCTCTGTTTTCCTAAATATATTTGAGTTTTTTAAAATAGAATATTCTCATTTTATCAAGCAGAAACATTTTTTTTGTAAATAGAGCAGATATTTTTCTTTCAAGTACATATTTTCAGTATACCAATGGTTTGATTTCAAAACACCGTTTATTTAAGAATCTTAGCAGTGATGAGGATAAGCAATGTAGCATAACACATTGATTTTATGCAGATCATCACCTTTATGTTTTGGGAGGTCTGCTGTATTAGTGATATATAAAAACTGATTACTTTCTCCAACATTGCCTAGTAATTGTTTATTATTTTCCTATTAGACAAACAAGACAGATCAATATTCCTGAACACCAACCAGACTATGAGTAACATCACTGTAAATAGATTTGCCTCAGACCTCAGTGGTGTATTCATTTTAATGATTTAGACAATGTGAGTCCAATGACAAAGTGCTCAAGCTAAGTTTAAAATTAAATTAAGAATAGGAATTGCTTACTTTGTTCCTTTGCTAATTGATAGGGCCTTGTTTCTTTGTCACTAGTTCTTAGAAAATAGTATAATAATAGGTAAAATGTTCTTTGCGTAAAATTTGCTATTTGAAAACATATGCTGTTCAAAATAGTACTCATCTGCAATATCATTGAAGAAATTTTGCAGTGTGATATTTTGGGAGCAATGTCTTAGACAACTCAGATGCAGCCTTTTTAACTTGTCTTATTTCTTAAAAAGCTTTTATCCAAAAGAAGGAATGACTTCTAGAAGTTAGTCAAAATATAGTCAAAATACTGTGCGAAATATGTTGATATTCCTGTATTTCCTACTAACATATCCTTGTGAAAGACATTGTCAGTTATTTTGCATTTTTGTTAGAAGCATGTTCAGCAGTAAAGTGTTCCTGATCATAACAATTTTCTTTATGTTGTTCTAAGAGGAGCACTTTATCTTGCATCAAATGTAATTGATCCTGAAGTGGTGTAATCACAATTACTCACTTTCTTAATTGGCCTGCCCAAAATCAGAAAATGGAAACCGATCGGCAGTGTTTAAATCAATAGCTTTGTAGTAAAGCTTGTGGGGGTAGGGACGTAGTGGTAATGGGTAGATCAATTGGTCTTAGATGCCAATCATGGACTGTGTGTTTTGCATAGCAAACACTACCTTTCTGCTAGGGGGTGTGCTGTGGTACTATTGGTTCGATGAATACAAACTGTATAAAGAAAAAAACCTAACAAGAGCCGTAAAATATTTAGATCTTTTTCTCAATTTGTTGTACAGATTCAAGGACAACGAAGGAGAAACTGCATTAAAGAGAGGTTTGAAGGGCTGAGCTTTGAAAGACCTCCCTCGCAAATACTGTTTCTGTTAAGCAAAGCTTACCAAAATCACATATCTAATTAAAAAGAAGTGAAACTCCTTAACTTGAAAACTGTGCCTAATGCATTTATTTGGAATGTGTATTAGAATGTTCACGCTATGTACTTGTAAGGAGAATATCTCTTCATTGCTGTTTTTCTTGTGCCACCTCCTTGCAGAGGCAGACTGTTTCAGCCACACTGGTGTTCTGCATGATAATGCCTCTCAAGTAGAATGTTAAAGAGGAATAAATGGAGGAACTTGGTCTTTTAAAAGATTTTTTTGAGTGATGCTCTGTCTTTTTGGGTTACTTTGTTATCATTCTGCAAGCAGGATATACACAGCTTAGAAGCTTAAAGTAATTTATTATTAGCTAACTCACCTGCAATGTAGGTTACTAGCTTGTTGAATCCTAATTAAATTTTAGTATATTCACCATCCCAGAAACAGACTTCAGCCTTAGGTAAGCAGGTAGGCAAAGGGTGAGCAGTTGAGCAAAGTTGAGCAAGTTGAGTAGTTGAGCAAAGGTTGGAATATATCCTTGATGCAACAAACTAACTGCAGTACTCCACTGACTGTGCAATTACTTTTTTTTCCCTTGTCAGATTTTCAAGATTCCCACATCATTGTGTCTTCTCTTGAATCCTTGAGCTCCTAGTGATCGCTACCTTAGCACTACCTCATATGCTATCTTTATTGTCTTGCTTGTTTCTACTTTTCAGATATTCTCAGGTCTTTCTCACAGCTTACCAGTTTTCTGAGATGTCTGAACAAAGATTTGGAAGATTTGCTGTGTCAGAATTTGATTGAGAAAAAAGACAAGGAAGGTTATAGAGACACAGAAGGTTACAGCATATACATGCCCTTATCCTATTTTGTGTACATATATTTAGTGTTATGAATTCCTGTCTGCATTTGTAAAACCCAGTAGGCAAATCTCCAATTTCTTGTAGGTATCTGATGAATAAGGAAAGGTGAAGGGGAGATCTCCTTTTTACAACATTGAAAGCTGAAGAAGAAAGTTTGTCTATACCTCTTCTTCCCTTTTCATCCCCTCTTTACAGACTCTCTTGGCTGTTTCCAAAACCATGAAAGAACAGCTTCTGGAGAACCTGTTCTCTTCTCTTCTTTTCCCTGTTCTTTTGAATGATATGTAGGGTGTTGTTTAGGTTTTTTTAAAACCACTTGGCGTAGGGGAAGGGTCCATGCCATGCATCTGTTTTGCTAGTTTTCTCAGGGTTTAAGTGCAAAGAATACAATCAGAGCTCCCAAGAAGAAAGGGAAATGGAATGAAAGCAGCAACTTCTATGCCTTCCATTCTTTTTCAGAATAATTAGGTCATGGAAAAAAATGTGATATGTGGCAGAGGTTTTTACAAACACAAGCTGGCTACCTTATATTGGCATTGCATATATTCCGGTTCATTAGAAGGGCTAGGACCATGTACATACTTTTCTGCTGTTGTTATGCTGATAGAAAAGGAAGCTGTCCATTACTTCGTCTGCGTTGGACTATGTAGAGAAAATATTTTGCTGGTTACTCTAGAAGAGGTTGGTGTAGCAAGAAGAATATAGCATTTTCTTAAATGAACTAAATCCCATGAATGAAATTTGAAAACCTGCTCTCTGCAGGTTCTATCTGCTCTCTCAGTCTGCTCTCTGCAGGTTCTATCTTATTGTAAAAGATTTTACTCTAAATTTTTTTTTCCAAGGAAGAGATTTTTTGCAACATGAAATTCACTTACTTCAGTCTGTGTTGCTGTAGAATCTTGTCAAGCAGAACTCCTACCTGCAATGTGGAGTAAATGAAGAGGATCAGCTGCTTAGCAGTCAGTATTTCTGTTGAGTGCAAGCATGCATTCAGGTGTAGATGCTTGCACAAAAGCATCTGATTAAAATTATGTAGTGGAATATGTTATGGTATATATTAAAAGCTAACGTTAGAGATGCAGGACTGTCTTCACAACACTGTCACTTGCGTTTTCACATGCTTCTTGCTGTTTTCTTTCCTAGTGCTTTGTCAGCAGATCACCAGGTTGTTTATAGATGTAGGAGAAGAAATCTGGTACTTTTCTCTTTATTTCATTACTCTAAAGTAGTCGGTTGTCCCTATTCCAGAAAACAATTATACTGAGATAGATAACTGACCTGGAAAAAACAAGGCTGGACATGGGCAACTGCTCTCATTTGTTCTATTGCTTTGGCCTTTTTTCTCATAAAAGCCAGATACTGTACTTTCCTCAGCAAGACTATGAGCAAAGTCTCTTAGACTTCTCCATTCCATGTTTTGTTTTGCGGTAACTTAGCAACTTTGTGTTGCTCTTCCTTTTCCATTCTTTTTTGATTGTTTTTGGAGATCTTTTGAATACAAGACAAAAATATTAAGCTGGTTTGGGATAAGTGTATTCTGGGACAAGCAGCCACTGGGAGTGAAACAAAAAAGGATAATATAAAGAGCAAGAAGAATCTTCCCCAGTCTCCTGTTAGAGTAATAATTTATTAGAAGCCTTGGAAATTAAGACTTTAAACACTACTATTGTGGAATCTTAAAAAACCTCATTCAAAAGTGTTAATATTATTTGCATTAGTTTTAAAGAAGATTTTGCCATCATTGTCCTGAAGTCTTATATTGTGGCAGAGAGCTTCTTTCCCAGGAACCCTTTGGAACCAATTATTTTTTAAAAAAAAGAGGCGAGAGAGGGAATAGCCTCTGGTTTCAAATGGCAGGTGCTAGCTGGTCCAGCTGCAGCCATCTAAAGAAAACTTAAAACTGCACATCTTCTTAAGGGTTGAATGTTAGTTCTGCAGTGTCATTTATCATGGAGCTAGTAAGTCTCCCTATGATCCTGTGGAACATTATTGTCTCTCATCTGTTCATCTTAATTGGGTGCATCAGAAGATAAATTCGTATGATCCTTGAAATTGAATCATGAAAGTGATGTAAGCCTTTTAAAAATACAATATGTACAGTTTAACAGTTTTTAAGGAATAAATAGGAGTAATGATGTCTAACATTATTTGCCCCTAAGTTCACAATTAAATACAAAACAGATTTTGCAAACTAGTGGCAAGGTACTGTTCTTGGACATCCCCAGTTGTTTGATTCTTTTAGAACTTCCTTCTGAGGACTTCTCATTAAGCATTCTTGTTACAGCCTGCTAAGGCTGTAACCTACCAGTTGCACTTGATAATGTCAGAAAATTCAATCTTTAATTTTTGAAATCTGAAAACAGTTACATTTCATTGGCCTGAAAAATTTTGGTTTGGTTTTTTTTCAGTAAGCTTCTTCATCTTGACTTCCAGGATAGTTAGAGCAACACCACCTGAGAGGTGTTTCAGTGCAGCTTGAAAGAGTTGTTCAGCAGATTCTTAAATGTTAATGTTCAAGCTTCAAATCACCTCTGCAGCTTTTTGTTTAAGCATCAGTTATGCTAATAATATTATTAAAATTACAAATAAATGCGTTAAATACACTAGAATTTAGTTTTCTTGGTATTGCAGGAAATTAAGTAGTTGTACTGCAAAACTCAGTATTATTATTAAACTTGTCCATTAGATGTCCGATGAAATCTCCATCTTTGGAGATACTCAGAGTTCAAATAGACAAGGCCCTGAGCAATGTGAACTAAGGTGGCTCTGGCTTCAGCAGGAGGTAGGACCAGGTGATTTCTTGATGGCCTTTCTGAATTATCTGTGGTTCTATAGAATTATTAATTACTTTTGTTAAATTAGATATTATGAGCTCTCTAATATATAAAGATGTAATGGAAGAGATGTAGATCAATAAAAAAAACCTGTATATTTAGCCTCTGAAATGTCTGATAAAGAGAATCCGTAAGGAAAAATTATTTTCTCTAGCTGAAGAAGAAATTTACGAAGTACATTAGAATTAAAGTAATACAAAGTAAACCAGATGCTGACTAAAGTGAAATTAAGAACTAAGTGGTTTGAAGAACACTAAGCAATCGGAATTTCTGTTTGTAGGCTATGAAGAGTTCGTGGTTTATCAAAAAATATATACTAGCTATTTATTCGCTAGAGAAAAGGGAAGTGGAATGTTTGTTAACAGCAGAGGTGTCAAGTGGTCCTCTTGAGCAGTTACAGCCCTATAAAAGCCAAGCTATGCTCATGCTTTTATTCCCTCTTATTGTGAAAATATTATAAGCATTTTAAAGCAATCTAATAATTGATAAGTCAAGTCTATGTACAAGTGGCATGTCCAGTCAATGAAAGATATGAATCATTGTACCCAAGACAATGTAGCTGTTTCCTACTGAATTATGTAGCACACATCTTGCTTGAATATGAAACATAACATTGGCTGAATGATCAGTTGAACAGTGCCAATGAAAGTATTACCAGAAGTGTTAGGCTTGTAGTCCAAGTAGTAGTATAAACAGCAAAAAATTAATGAGGCAGCTGATTAAAGACCCTTCTATCAGCTCTTAAGCTGATTGAGTTCTTAATCACTTTTCAAAGGAAAAATTAAAAAAAAAATACTTCTTTCTTATTTTACAGTGCACTTAACCAGGCCAACCAATCAAACAATTCCTGGTGTTTCATTATAAAAATTACTTTAGAGATGGATGGTATTTAAAGTAATATAGGGCGGAAATAAAGATAATTTTTTTGCTTTTAAAAGCAGCATTTCATAAATGATTCTTTGTAAGGGAAATACTAGCCAGGTTTGAAGGGATTGTTTCCCTGTATGTTTACTAAATAGCAGTTGTGAAAAAAGTTAGTGTCAATGCTGGGGGTTTTTTTAATAGCCCATACTTGAGATTGCATCCATAAGCATAATTATAACACATCAGAAGCTAGAAAGTAAGGTTGTACTAGATCCTAAGCATTTGCTTTTGAAAATGAGTAATTATGGTAAGTATTAGAATTTTGAGTAATAGGGCTGTAAAATGCTTTTCTGTTTTTGGGTGGCTTATCGTACATCTCTAGGAGGGAGACAACTATGTTTTCTATGTTATTAATCTTTTTTCATCAGTCTATCTTGTTTCAGAATTTTGAAGTTGCAGAGTTATAAAAAATGAGTAACATGGGTTTAAGGTATTTTAAATACCATGGATGTTAATTGATGAAACATATTTTCCATTCTAACAATTGTATTGCTATATTTAAATAAGATATCTGAGCCATATCAGCAATCAATATGTATTGACTATTTGGTACATCAGTTAAAAAAAAGTGTTCTTTTCTAAAAATTTCTCAGACCTCAAAGCATTAACAAAGAATCTGACTGCATGTACTGATCCTGAATTGCTGGGCAAATCTCTTATAGTAATAGGTAGCAATGAAACATAGCAGAGTGAATGTATCTTGAGTTTCTGTAGCCTTGAGGAAATCTACAACAAAATAGTAGGAAGCTTAGAGAAGTGAATGGATAGGGAGAGCAAGTTCACGATATGATATTTATTTCTTAAGGAGGAATCTATAGCATTTGATAGTAGTATGCTTCTAGTGATGCTACTTTTTAACTCTGCCATTAAGAAAGCAGCCACAAGTTCTGCAATTTTCCGGTGTGCATTTGTATCAGCCACTATGCTGTGCGGTTTTGTTTAAATGTACAAAATGTTGCAAAGTTGAAGTTATCAAAGATATTTCTTTTTTACTACCATATTTATTGTTTGTCATGTTTGTGTTTTTTTCAGACAATAATCATTCTTTGGTCTGAAATACCTTTCCTATGTTCAGGCCTATTTCTGGGACAGCTGTTACTGATGACAGGATGTGTGAATAACAGTTCTTCTACAATTTGTAAAAATGCACAATAATTTGTCCTTTGCAAGCATTCAGTTTGAGTGGGATGCCTTGTAGATTACCCCTAAACATTGATATGAGTAAGAAATATTATTTTATGAGTAAGAAATATTTTCAGAAATGCAAGGCCATGCATACTGTATTAATACTACATTTGTACTGGAGAAAATGGATCACCTTTACTAATGTAAGAAGGTAGAAGGCTTTCAGATTAATGAAGTAAGAATCATTCAGGTAGTTCTTACACTTTTTAAAGATTCCATAGAAAATTTGGAGCTGATACGTATATATCAATCCACGTTGTAGCACTTGGTTGATTCTGTGTAATTTCTCTTTTCCTAGCACAAAGGATGATCATTTCAATGTTAGCATTCAACCCCCTGTTGGAGAACTACTCTTGCCTGTCACTATGTCAGAGAAAGACTTTAAGAAGGAGCAAGGTGAGCAATATTTCAGCAGCATCACTAAATATGTTTGGGAAGAGGGCTGTATGCCTTTCAGTTTCCAAGCGTACAGCAAGTGCTTCCAGTTGTAGGTGGTTGTATTAGTCACTCTGATGCTAATAAGCAGTTTAAAAATATCTTAAAAAGAATGTGCAATGAAATATGACAACTTTTCAGTGGGCCTTTAAAAGCACAAAGCCCACCCTTTACCCTGAAACAGTCTTCTGGCTGAAAATGTTTTGGCTTCTTATCATGAAATGTGAATGTCTTTCCTACCAACAGTAAAGCAGAAAATTGGAATACCAGCTCAAGGAAATAACCCAAATATATGTTGATATTGTGTCCATTTTTGCTAGTCTTTATTCCAAGGTTGATTTTAAATACTACTAGCGTACCTGTTCCTCAGGTACTTTGAAGATTATTTTAATATGTTCACTTTCAAACGCTTCATATTAAAAAAATATTCTTGTTGGAATACTATTTTGGAAAGGTGACATGGTTTTTATACTTCTGCATTCTTCTGATATTGTGTCTTTAAATAATGTAAGTTTCTGATGCTAGTCCAAACAAAAACCTCCTTAACGGCTTTTAGTGACTTGACTATTTTATGCAAAATAATTAGAGAAAATTGTGCTTAGGTTTGACCATGTGTTAAATGGAATAGTCAATACTGCTACCCTTAATTTGGATATGATTCTTGGATATTTTAAAGTATAAATGGTTACATTTTGGATGCATTTAAATGTAGTAGTGTTTACTCATCTATCTCAATGTATGGGGATTTACATGTGTAAATCTCTTCACACTGAGATGAGAATATACCCATGGGATCCTATCTCATTGCTGTGTAAGGCTCAGAAACTCAGTATATCCATCAAGCAGTCAAGAACACCTATGAGTAATGTTATGAATTATTAGTTATTGCTGTTGAGCATTTCTTGCTTTTGTATTTTTGAGTTATTAAGAAAGTAGTTTAAATGTTGCCCGGATGATTTACAGTTAAGCTTATGGCTGCAGCGAAAAGTTAGGATTGTGCTTTGTTTTCATAACCAATTGATGCTTATTTGCTGTTCTTACCCTTTGCTGGCTAAAGCCTGCCTCTGCTTTATACCTGCTCAGCAAATGAAGGTGAGTGATTGAACGAGGCTGCGGCACATTTATTTTTAACTGTTCGCTTCTAAAAATTGCAGCTGAAGTTGTAGTGAAAAGAAGGCAGGTTACTGTGCTTCTTCCCCCTCTTTTTTTTATATTTACTTGCTTTCTGATATTTTGATAGAGTTTTTGTATGCTTTACTGTGACTGAGGGCTTTTTTTCCTCCTGACTAGCCATACAGAACCATGAGCACATAGAAGAAGTGTACTTGGAGAATAGCTGTGGTCCTCTGTGGAGTTGTTGCCAAAATTCCTTTTTCTTCTGCCATTTTACTTCTATGGTTGTTGATTATTTGTCTGAATAAATCTGGCAGCTGTTTGCTATGTTTAATAGAGCAGAAAGGCTACTCTGAATAAAGCTATTTGAAAATTTGTTTATATGAAGTATTTGTAAATCCATGAAGGTCTCTTGGCATTTCTATATTGCTCACCCTGTCTTCCTGAATTCATTCTTTGATGCAGGACTTTGCAGGCTGGCAAGTTTACCACAGGTTTAAAAACCCTTTCTGTTGCATCTTTTTTCTTGTAGATATTATCTGTATCAGAATATTCTTGGTAATAGAGGTCTCAATTCTACGTTTTTTATAAGTATGTATTACAAGGATCTAAGAACTTCTAGCATTTGGGAAGAATTACTTTGTGTTCTTGTAAATGAAAAATCCAAATTACAGTAATAAATGCAGGGCAATTTAGAAGTTGGTATATGTTATTCTATTTTGTGTATAATTTCAATTTGTCTGTATTCTCCTAATGAATCTGATTTGTAGAACTTGTTTTTCACTTTTCATGCTTTTTCTTTTCCCTTTTTTTTTTTTGTTTGGTTTTGGACATAAGATGTTTCAAGTCCTGTACCTGGAGGTGCCTTATTTTACTTGCAACCAAAACAAATAGGTAAAAAATAGTGAATGAGTGAGGAGAATATTAGAAATGTAAGATAACATTGGGAAGAATGAGAATACGTATGGGTTTTAAGGATTTTTACATCTAAATTGCATGTGTAACCTAATAAGAATGCTAAAGCGGAAATAGCTGGTATTATACTACTGTGTAGAAGACAATTCATTGCTACACATCTTGACTCAATTACACTCTGCTGTTTTGGATTGTCTGTTACATTTGTATATGTCCATTTTCTTTCTGATGGCATAAGGAGAAGGGAACAGACGGGTTATTGAATATTCATTGCTGTGAAGGTTATCTAGTGATAGCAGCAGAAACTCAAAAGCCATTTTTATCCACATGCTGTGCGAGATATGCTTAGCCTTGCTACACTGCCTTCCCTTTCCTTTCCTCCGGAGCTGGGGAATCCTCTGGTGAGGTAATTCCCCTGAGCATCGGCTGAGTTAGTGGTTCTCATTGTGACTGACAATTTGGAATGAGTGGGTAAAAATGGTATTGCCAAACACTCTTTGCCTTCCTGCTTAAATATTTTTACTGATCCCTCAGGCCTCAGGATTTTATACTTCTTTTATATCACATCCCCATGAAAAGCCAAGTTTCTATAGAAAAAATTCTGCATGAGTGAAACATGTACTGTTGGGAACTCTTAGTTCAGAGTAGGACTGGTCTGGTAGCTAATATTCCTTGTTACCTATCACTGTAATTTTTCCAATTTAATTTCCATTTATTATTTAAAATATGTACAGTTATTTCATTGTATCAGATAGTTAACCCAGACTAAGTACTGCTTTGTGCTCTGACTAGAATTTTCTTAGATCCTCTTGTTTCAAGCAATATTAAAGCAATATTAAAGGTGTCATGTGATTGTTTTAGCTGGATATTAATCAGAATTTTTATGAAGGTGCTTTTTAAATAGGCAGTTAAAACTGATTTAAGTATTAAGATTTTTTTTGCCAAGAGGCATGGTTTGAAATAATTTTGTCAGCTTTTTTTTAGGAGTGTATGCCTGAATCACATTAAAAACCAAACCAAACCAACCAAACAAAAACCCAACAAACAAAAACCCAACAAACCCCAATTTTGGTTATGTAAACAGATAGTTTACGTAATTTTATTAAAATTAGATATATGCAACTTGTTTTCTTAATAAGCAAGATACTAATTCTTTAAATGGCTGGACATTTACTATTTTCTGGCCATTGACTACCCCAAGCAATCATATTTGATGCTCCTTAATTAGAGCACCCTTTTTTTTTCCAGGTTCTTTTCCACCTCAGCAATCGAGACAATACATTTGCTTACCACGCTGCTCTCCTAAGTGTTCTTTTGCATGTAAATTAATCTTGATTCAGTTTACACTGTCATGCTGAGTGGTACAAATTGCCTATAACAATAAAACAGCATGAGTTAAAAATAAAGGGGGGTGAAAAAGCAGATTGAATGTGTGCCTTACTTGATAGGATGTTACTTTGGTTTATGCCAATACATTAGTCAACGATAATGAATCTTCTGTTCTGAAAAGCATGGTTTAGTTGATTTTTTTAATTTTACTTCAATGGAGCAGTACCTTGTCTTTTATAGAACAAGTTAGACAAACCATTAATGACAAGAGTGTTAAGGTTAAATATGAAGCAATGCATTCACTTCTCTGAGTGCTATCCATCTTTCCATTTACAGGAGCTTGACAAAAGTACTGGCTTTGTACAACATTTCCTTTAATTACATGCTGCGGGAAACAGGCTTTTAACATAAACATAGTTGCATTCATTTATTCAGCATTTGCTCTTCAATAGAGCTTAATGGAGAAGGTTTAAATCCTAAATAAGTACACACATCTCTCAGCAGTGTTATGTCAGTCCCTGTGCTCTGTTTAAAAGCAGCTTTAGTCTGCATATGTAGTTTTAAAGCTTTTGCCTAATAGTTAAACAATTCAAAACAGAATGTTCTGTTCCCTTGATAAATCTGATCATTACAGAAGTTGCATGCTTATTTTTGTTCTCTTCAGAAATATCCTGTTATTTACTTTTGAACTGTTCCATTTTTACTTTGGTATTTCTTATTTTGTGACAGCCTCACATTCAGGGGCATTAAAATGTAGGATTTATTGTTTTAATTGCTCTATTAAGCGTCTTGGTACTATTTGCTCTGGGTTAGAACTGTGTGTGCAGCCCTAAAACATTATGGCCTTTTGAGACTTTCTCATTGTTTTCATTGTTAATGTTGTGGATTTCAGATGCTTCATGTTTCTGCCTGAAGTACTGTGCTCCTTTGTCTGCATTTTCAGCTTCTGAACATACTGTAAAAAGGCATACATAGTGTTAAATTGTACTTGCTGTTGTGTTTTAATCAACGTGAGCATCCAGCAAATCGTTCTTCTAAACAATGGATATTGATAGAACGGAAAAGTGAAGGTTTTGTTAAAATGTCCTTGAATTACATATCTTTCTTTACTTTTTCTTTGTCATATGTTTGGATATAATCTTAACATTTCTATTCCATTTTGTAATGATATTCAAATTATTTAACTCAAATAGTTTATCATGACATTTTTGAGAGCTGGATACTAACTGAATTTCCCAGTTTCTAATGTGATGACTTAACCTTAAAGAACTAAATTGAACCAATTACGACTATCTGAATTTCAATATAATTTTTAGCAACTGGATAAATTAAATGCAATGGTTTTATGATTGAAAGATCAGAAGGTGTCTTTGTGTATAGTCTTACTTAAGCTGAACTTTTCCAAATCAGCCTTACGCAATATTTGATTTCTATGCTTACACTGTTCTTTTAAGTTAAGCTTTTCAAGAAGAGGAACTACCTTGGTTTCACAGTTGCAGTAGCATCACATATATGATTGCCAGTTACTAGTAGTTTTTTTCTAATAATGGGCTATTGCAAGTAATACATTAAACTAATGATTATAAAATTGTTAAATTGTTTTCTCAATAAATGATTTAACTTTTAATGCAAATATGGTTTTTGTTTAGATGTCTCTTATTTTGGTTTTATGCTTAATAAGCAAGTAAATCTTAAAGTATCTGCAATTAAATACTTAATTTTTCAGGAATGCTGACAGGAATGAATGAGACATCTGCTACAATAGCTGTTGCTCCACAGAACTCTACTAGACTTGTAATAATTGAGAGGATAATGAAAGCAGCAAATCTGGGTGTAGTCTCTTCTGGTCAAGATAACATACACAGGTAAGATTACATGTTATTCAAAGTAGCAACATCTTTTAATATGAATGTTAGTTCTAAATTAATCAATATTTGATTATATTAGGGAAAATTTTATTATCTGCAGCTTTAACGGAGAAGGTACCCAATTATACTGTAATATATAATCCTAAGCAGATATTAACTTGAGCCTAAGTACTCTGCAGCTCTTTAATTTGAGTGGATATAGAACAATCAGATGTCTAGACTTTAATATACACAGTTAGGGGAAATTGTTCTTTCCTGGTTTTGTTTCAAAGGGAAAAGGTAGCCTTTTAAAGCACAGTACTTTCAAGAGCTTTTTTTTTCTATTGTAATTTTTATTTTTGTTTCTGATAGTAAATAGGTATATCATCTGTGAGATGAGCCTGCTCCAGGTATATCATCTGCGAGAAACAGCTTGTTTTTCCTACATTATATTTTGACCTTCCGATATATATGCAAGCAAAGCGAGTTACCAGCCAAGAAAGCCATTGGCCCTGTCAAAATTCAAGTTGTTACTTGTAGATGAATCCGTTTCATCCAAGAGCTGTGATACAGAACGTCAGTGGAATTGATACGATTGTTGGTTAATGACAGCTTTTAATGTGATTGACTCAAAATATTTAGTCCTGTGAATTGGTATGGCTTCTTACAGGAACAAACAGGAAAATTGCCATGTGTGGAAAACTGAGTAGACACAAATTACAACAGCCAGATCTAACTGGAAGCAGTTAACCTGGTCTTAGAAAACAAATATATCTCTCTTAGCATCTACTAAAACTGTTCGACAGTGTGAATTATCTCTGTAGCCCCTGAATTTTGCTATTTCAATAAGAGCAAAGTATCTTCTTTTAAAGCAAAGAACAACGTTTTTCTTTGAAATTTTGTTGACTGAGATGGATGTTTGGAATGGTGAGAATCCTGTAGCCTACACAAGACTAATAACCTGATATTTCTCCTTGTTGGATTTAGTCTCTTTTGCATTGCTGGGCATTTTTATTGCATTGCATTAACATTATCCCAGCTGGATTTTCCTATGTATTTGATACGGTCAATGATAAAATCCTGTTTCACCATAAAAACATGGTACAGCTAGTGCGATTGCACTGAAATGATTGTCACTATTGACACCTGCTCCTCCATGAAGGAGTCCTCATTTGTTGCATCCCTGAGGGATCTGTCTATATAGCCTGCGTTCTCAACATCAATTCAAAGACTAGGTGAGAGTGTCAATCAAGAGAGACTGAAGTGTCTGCAGTATAAAGGTGTTCTCCATCTTTACCCGATCTGTCACATGAGACATCACATAGGGATGGATTGTTTTGTTGGCTGAGTCTCAAAAAGGCTCCCTAAAATAATAGCTTAGTCCCTAGCTCAGCCACAGGTTTCCTGATTGTAGATAGTTTCTAATTTGATCTTGTTTTCTTTTGCTCTTTTGGTTTCTTTTAAAGGAGGTTTTCTACAATAGAGACTATAACCAACAGTAAATAAATTGAAGATACATTTCTGTCGGGTACACTCCTTCAGAGATAGTGGTTAAAGGCATGTTCTGGTCCAGGTGAAGTACTCAGAGTGCTTTGGAGCATCCTGAAATCTTCTTTGGGGTTTTTTTTATATTAAAAATAAAATGTATTCAGTCTGCCACAGTGGTTATAGAATACTCTGCATCTATAATGTCCATTAGACCAAAAAAAATCATTTATTACAATATAAATGGCCTACAAGAAATGACCAGCAATGACAAGCATTTAGAAAATAGCCCTTCATTTGCTTCACTATAAGTAACTGGAGTTCACAGCTACTATAATCATAATTGCACCTAGATTTTACTGAGAACAGAAACAGGAACATTACCTAATTGATACTGTAATGAACCTGTTCATCTCTTAAATAGTAATACTTTATCATTAAAGTAAATCCTAGATTCTGATGAATGATTATTTGAGATAAAATTAGATAATGAACTCTTTCAAAACACTGAAACAAATGACTGAAATGTTTTTTCCTCTATGTGTCTAAAATATACGTATGTTTGGATTACCTGAACTATGCCATGAGAGTAAACAGAAATGGAGTCACTTCTGGCATAAGTCTCATGAGTGCAAGAACTGTGACATGTTTTATTTATGTGACACATATCCCATTTCAGGATAATAAAATAAACAGTCACCTTTTATCTTGACAAAACAGTTAGAGATTCAATAAAATTATGTTGAAAGTGGATTTTTTAATTTTTCTATAGTATTTTCATTTGTCTTGTTTGTTTTATTGCAAGTCATATTTGGAGAAAAAAATTCTGTGCAAGAACTTGTTTTAACTCATCATGCTGTTCTGTGAGGACTACTTCAGTTCACTTCTTGGAAGTACTTAGTACATACTTTTACACAGAAAAAGTACTGTTTTTAAACTGACGTTCTGCACTGTGCAGCATAAATTATATTAACCTTTTAGTTGATCATCCCCAACTTGAATATTACTACTTAATGATGGCTAATGCCAAGAAATTTTTATTACCTGGTAATGCAATATACTCATTCAAAATGAAATGGTGCAGTTTAATACAAGTGCCAGAGTATCTAATGGATATGAACAGGTGTGCGTTTCTTGGTGTTTTTTTCAGTCTAAACATGTTCACATTCATGATGAAGATGTTGTCATGCTGGTGGATCCCAATTACTGCTCCTTAAATTAATAACCCTATTAGGATTTTATTTTTGCACCAAGTAAAAACACTTAAATATAATGAAGATTTGAAAGTAAATACTTGAAACAAACATCAACAGAGTAGCATGCAGTCACCAAAGAAAAATGAAATAAGTGTAAACCTGTCAAATACATTAGCTCTGTATCAGACCATATCACAGTATAGTAATACCTTCTTACATGCATTTTTTTTTCTCTCTTTACTGTTTGGCTACTAAAGTTTCATACTTACTTGCAATGTAATAATTTAACTGTCAAGTGAGTGTAGAACAAAACACCAGTTAATACAGTTGCTAATACTTTGTCTTTTTTCTGACCTGTTTTACTTGAAGTGGTATGTGCAAAAGTTTTGAACACAATAGCCAATATATATATCAGAGCACAAAGTTGCAGGTTAATATTCATATATTTGCAAAATAAATTTTGCTGTACCGTTTGATTCCTTACATATAGCTACCTGCTCTTCCATTGAGTTTATACAAGGTATTAGGTTACTGGACCTTGAAGACTACATGCAGTGTGGTCTCATGTTCTTAATAGAATTTTACTACTTTATGTATTAATCTCTCTTGCTTTTGTTGTCAAGTGGTAACATTATTTTGATTTTAAAAGGCTTCTACGAAAAGCAAGCATGTGAAATGCATTTCAAAAGAAAAATTTTCTTGAATAGGAAATATTTCTCCTTAAATACGAAAACTTCAGAAAAAAAGTGTATGATTTTTCTTAAAATATTTTTTCACAAGAGTGATTAGGGTAATTGTTGGAATATACATAGCTCTTTCAATGTTCTGAGGAGCATTGATGTTGATAAAGTGATTTCAAAAGGAGCTAAGGCACCAAGCTTTTGTCTTTTGATGCAGGCCACATTTGAGGGCACCATTTGAATATCTGAAGATAAAGACACTGAACGAAAAGTACTTGTTCCTGCAGGGCATTAAATCGCTCTGAATAACTGCGTTTAGGGACCAAATGCTTTTCTGTTGAAGTATGTCTGCTGTTTGTTGTCAGTGGAGAAAATCCACCAGGAGTTTTTCCATCTTCAAGATAGGAGGATACATGAAGACATTTATTCCCTCCAAGTTGATTCTTCTATAGACTATCACTTGATCTCCTTGTCTCTACTTGGACAATAACACTGGTTGCTTTATATATTAAAAAAATATTCTAGGCTCTTCTATTTCAAAATGTGATGAGATGAAGACGCTATTCAACTCAAGATTTTCAGTCATATTCTATTTAACCAACAGAAGCCTTATTTACCCTTCATGCCAGTGTTACTTTCAGGATGTGGTGCTTATTCTTCTTATTATTAGATGAATAGTATTAAAGTCCCTCAGATCTCTTCCTCCTGTATTTATTTTCGGCTCCGTAACCTCCTACAAGGATAGGTAGTCTTCATTTGCTTCACTTTGAATATAGCAAAAGACAACAGGTGATAGAATGAAAAGGCTAGTTGAAAACTTTAATCTTGGAACGACTTGAATGCTCTTATGATCCTCTAGAAAGTGTCAAAATATTGCCTACTATTACATAAGGCTCTATGTGTGAAGAAGTGTTTCAGGCTAAATTTGCTTAAGGAAAAAAACTAGTGGAAATACACATAGAAAACATTTCTTTCCACTATATACAAAATATGGTACCAAAGCTTTTTAATGTGTTGGCAGTAGCATATGGCAGAAAAGTCCATTCAGAGCTGTGATCACAAACTGGATTTGCTTCTTCACTCTTTCATTTTGTTTTATACTTTGGTGCTTCCATTCATGTCAAAATATAATGTGTAATGGGCTGGAGAATCAGGCGGTCTTCAACTATCTACCTCTCTACCTTCCACTTTCCAAAGCATTTCTTAAATGATATGCATTGTACTCTAGAATATTTCCCTCAATAACTGTAGCTGTACAAAATGATGCAAGGTAGAGTACCTCTTCTGCTTTTTTCATCCTTGAAGAGTGCTTGTACCTTGCCCAGTCAGTCAGTGGGATAAAAGTTTGAAGCCATCGGGGTAGATATGAAGAATGGATTTCAGTCAACTTCAACTCGTTTAATAGTCCATTGAACTAGTGTGTTGCTGCTGTTCTATTTTGGAAGTAATCCACAATTGCAAACAGAAAGCAGCTGGGTTACAAAGTGAGCATGGAGTCATATACATCTCTATTCTACAGTTCATCTACAGGATGACCATAACCATTGACCAGCACTCTGAGACACACAATAACATTAATTTCAGTCCTCTAATTTGACATGGTCAAATCTCTCATTTCAACAACCCAGTAGGGGACAATCTGAGATTTTGGAGAAAA